TCAGGTCATAAGGTGATTTCGAAAGGAGAATACGGGATGCTTATCAAATACACTTACGTTGATGGCTTCATCACGTTCCGCCGCCCCCTTTTCACAAAGGGGCACGAGGATGTCGCTAGCCGTAGTCGGACCGCTGATCATCATTTGACCGACGCGCCGCTCTACAGCTTCGCTGCTCAGACCTGTTAAACGGGAACCAACTTTTGATAAGTCAAGAGGAACGCGAGTACAAGCACGCCAAGATGAATACGAGAAAGATACCCCGAGGAGAAACCCGGGTCGCGTCATTCGGCCCGAAATAGTTATAGGCTGGATGGGCCCGAGCCTGGAGCGGCTGGATCCGCCTACCAACGAAGTCTGCAGCGACTTCATATCCCGACAAGCCCCGTTCTCGGAGATCATCGATGATGTCGATAAACGACTGAAGAGAGGGGGTCAAAGGGGGCTTGGCGGTCCAGGCCGGAATCTTGTCCGGTTGATCCTCGGGAACAACGAAGACAGGGTTCGAGTCCTTGATCTCAAAATAGAACCACCTATTCTGCCACTTACTGCGGGAAGAAGGACACTGGAAGGGGATATAACGTGACTTCATGCCATCACTAAGTCAGAACCCGACGCAACCAGACACCCTATTGGATTCCATCCAACGCAGTTCATAGTAGAAACGGAAGAGATCGAGAAAAGGCTCTACCCCAATGTAGGCCTCACAGAGATGAACAAAGATACTAAGAAAGGCGATGGAATTAGGATTCAAATGGAGAAGAGAAAGACCATAGAAATTTTCAACACCAGGAGAAGAAACTCCGAAGGTGGAGGAAGAAAACCGTAGACAACGTAATCTTCGATCGCAACCATGCGACCCAAGAGGGGCTGAGGATCAGTACCTCCTACTTCTCTCTCCATGTCTTCACGGCCGGGAAGGGCGCCGTCCTCCTGAAGGTTCTTCAACGTCGCGCCGGTGGAAGACGACTTGCCGAGATCCATTGCTGTTCCAAGATCGCCGGAAAACGAGCCTGAGTTGGCAAACTAGGTTTTCTTGCGGCGGCGGAGAAGGCAAGGAGCGCTGGCAGGCGGTATGTTTCAACAAGATTGGCAGACTTCAAAATGGGCTCCCAAAATTCCTTTAAATAAGCGCACTACCGACGGTGCGAATTCCAAGGAACGGAGAGAGATCCCCGCCGGAAATCTCTGGGCCCGTTACACGCGGCAATTTTCTGGACTTCAGTTCAAAATTCACTCGTGACCGTTGGGCTTCAAACGGCATGCTCGACTACGTTCTATCTCCGCGGTCCTCGCACCAGGAATGACAACGTTCTCGACACCCGAAGTCGTAAATGGTTGCACGAGTTCATTTAAGCAGAAGTCGGGGGCTACTGTCAGGGTTACAGGTCAGGCATACCCTCTACCCTTCGATATACGTTACATATCGACATGGCATACCCACGCGCACGCGGATATTTCCTACGTATCCTAAGGAAAACTTTCACGAAATCTACAGATGGGAAGAGTCCTTCTCGGACAGAACTGGGTCGTCGACGTATCGTATTGGGTCCGATATCTCCGAGTCCTACTTGGAGACCTCCAGATCTGTGATATAAAAGGGACCCCACGGGGAGGGCATAGGGGATCGAATCTCAGAGCCAACACAACCCACACAGCCTACGAAGTCGAAGTCTGCGAGGAGCCAAGTCATCGAGAGCTAGTCGAATCCACTCGACTACGATCTCGCCGGATCCGACAAGTTCCATCTTTCCCTTTATAATCTGTGTTTTCCACCATATAATCCCATATCAACTGGATTAGGTCTATTACCTACCAAGGGGCCTGAACCAGTATAATTCTTGTCTTTTGATTGTTCAATGTCGTACTACGTAGATCCTTGTACCAACGTACCCCAATACCCTCTATATCCGGTCTACGGGTATCACCCGTCGACAATATATATATTGGAATTTTCTAGGCTTTCAACTATTTCCACATGAGATAGTTGTTTTAGCAATGTTACTGTAGCAACAGCAACAAAAAAATATACTATGAAAAATATTTTGTATTGAAAATCAAATGAAATATCCTGTCGATATACAATTCGATCTTATACATATATGTTTTACACTGATGAACAAATCCCAAAAGAGAAATTTACACATGTAGATCCAAGATGTTATTTGATTTAGTTTACTGCCTAGGATCTCTCTCTCTCCGTGTGTGTGTAATATCTCACTGGAGTAATATCCAGTGTTGGCAAAAGGTGTGTTACACCCCAAACTAGCAATAATGACATGTCCATATATATACGTGAAGAATAAAAACAATTGTTCCAACAATGAATGCATTTATTTTTTTAGTGAAGTGCATGAGCGGTTTCTAAACTTGTATGTGTGTGTTATCTAGATCCTTGAACTATCAAAATGTTGTATTTTTGAATCTCCAAACTTGTCTTAGATGTTATATATATAGGTTCAAACGGGCTCTCAACCCGCTCCATACGCTAAAATGGCATGCCACGATGGTGCCTATGTGTTAGTCAGACCCACATGTTAGTTACATAGAAAAAATAAAATTAAATATATATATATATAAATTTAAGTTTACCTTTTTTTTCTCTCTACCTAAGAGGAGAAAATATGGTTTTAAATTTTATTTGTTATACATAACTGACATGTGGATCCCACTAACATGTAGTTGTCACCGTGTCATGCCACGTCAGCATATGGGACAATTTAGAACCGGTTTAGACCTATATGCTACCCAAGACAAGTTCAAGGACTTAAAAATGTATTTTGGAAGTTTAGATGACACAAATGCACAAGTTTAGCGACCGCCTATATAATTCACTCTTTATTTTTCTAGATATGCGGAGGACATAAATACATACAAACATCAGTGGAGGCGTGGAGCCAACATGTTAGGCTATTGTCACATGGCATCAATGAATCTTGATTTAACCTACGTAGACATTATGTTCTTCAATGAATTACATTAGTATATGATTTGCCTTTTGACGCCACCATGTTCCGGCAGAGTTAGCCCATCCATTTGCTTAGCCCATAAATTGATTTAACCATATAAGTTAGCCCATGTGACCATGTTAAAATTATCTACTAAATCCGTTCTAAAATAAGTGTACTCTTGTAATTCAAATTTGAACTAGAAAGTGTACTAGGAGTAGGGGATTAGACAGGGTCGTCCCGAAGGGAGTGCCACAAGTGCGACTGGGCCCCCATTCTCCGGGGTAGAAGGAATTTGTTGAAGTCGCATAGGCCGAACGCAGCACGTCTATTCATTTTCGCTGCGTGCGTTGATTCCCTCCCAAACACGATATTAATCCAAGTAAGTCTTGACCTCGGTGACTCTGAATTATGGATCCGCCCTGTTAAAGTATTGTACAAGAGTACATTAATTTACAAATGATAGTACTCCATCCGTTTCAGGTTATAAGATGTTTTAACTTTTATTAAAGTTAAACTGCTCAAGTTTAATAAAGTTTATAGAAAAATATAGTAATGTTTACACTATCAAATTAGTTTTATTAAATTAATAATTAAATATATTTTCATAATAAATTTATTTTGGTTTAAAAATATTACTATTTTTTTCTATAAACTTGATCAAACTTAAAGTAGTTTGACTTTGACCAAAATCAAAGAAATTTTTTGGTTTTTGTCATCAGAAATTATGGAACAAGTATGTTTGAGTTTTGGATCGTAGACGTGCTCCATTCATGCAGGCACAACGAAAAAAAAATACTAACACGCACGCATGGCTACCAACGCATTGCTACCGCACCAAAGAGGCTCTTGTATATAAGTTAGAGTAATTACACAATAATTATACTCCATTTATCGAAAAGTCTTAAGCATATTTTATTTTCGGGGTTTTCAAATGAGATGATCATATTTGTACCTCCATATATGTAAGACTTAAATAAAGAGATTGTATTTCTCGTTTTGCCATATTAGAATAAATCATTAACCGGAACCCGAGCAACCATCTTAATATTCGTTAGTTACAAGCACACGTATAATTTTTTTTTGTCTCTGTTATAGATGAGTTAGTTTTTTTTTCTTGATTTTGTTAACAAAATAAACACGTTTTAGTTTTTTTTATGGAGGGATTTGGATTAAACTTGCTCTAAACCAAATCACCCAATCTTTCGTTCCATCCGTTTCTTCGCATGTGACAGCTCATCCACACCGATGGAGCAGTGACGAATTTTTTTATTTTTAATTTTATTTATTAAAATATTTACAGAAATAATTTTTAATTTGAAAATTTTACAAAACTAGTCGCCCATCGCCCTTGCCCTTCCAGAAGACGTTTTTTCCGAAGTAGTAGATGGCCGTTGGCTCTACCATAACGGCGGGCCATCGAGGACGCTCAAATTTTACAGGCGGCCCCCTTGCCACCCTCCCAGAGGGCGATTTTTGGCTCTAGGGGGCCACCTACAAAAGGGTTGGGAGGGCTACCTAGAATTTTTGCAGGCATCTCCCTTGCCGCCGCCTAAGAGGGCTATTTTCTACTATAGGGGAGAGGGTGGTATTTTTGCAGGCGGCCCCCTTTAGCCCTCTGGGAGGACGATTTTCTACAGTGCAGGGGGGCCTTTCGTAGGCGGCCCCCTGTAAAGTAAAAAATCGCCCTCCCAAAAGGCTACGAGGGGGCCGTCTGTAAATTTCTCCTCCCTCGATGCCGATTATTATGGGAGGGCCAACGGCTGTCTGCCACATTAGCAAAATCGCCCTCCTAGAGGACGATGGACGACTAATAGTTTTGTAATTTTTTTAAATAGAAAATTATTTTTAAATATTTTAATAAATAAAATTAAAAAATTCGAGCAGTGACCACAGCGAAGCCGGCGCCACTTGTCACGAACAGGCGCCGTGCCACCTCGGCGCATGCCTCTCTACGGCTAGCTACTCCCATTTGTGGTCAACACCTCGTAGCGTCCCTATTTAACGTATCCACACGCATCACAAGATCGACCACCACCAAGCGAGCCCAGCAACAGTTTCACACTTTAGCTGCTAGCTAGTGCTACCACCCACAGGAGGCAACCCTAGCTTTCCCACGCAGCCAATGGAGGCCGGCTACCCGGGCACGGCGGCGAACGGCGCTGCCGCCGACGGGAACGGTGGCGCGCAGCAGGCGGCGGCCGCGCCGGCTATACGTGAGCAGGACCGGCTGATGCCGATCGCGAACGTGATCCGCATCATGCGCCGCGTGCTCCCGGCGCACGCCAAGATCTCGGACGACGCCAAGGAGACGATCCAGGAGTGCGTGTCGGAGTACATCAGCTTCATCACCGGGGAGGCCAACGAGCGGTGCCAGCGCGAGCAGCGCAAGACCATCACCGCCGAGGACGTGCTCTGGGCCATGAGCCGCCTCGGCTTCGACGACTACGTCGAGCCCCTCGGCGTCTACCTCCACCGCTACCGCGAGTTCGAGGGGGAGTCCCGCGGCGTCGGCGTCGGCGTCGGCGCCGCGCGCGGCGACCACCACCATGGTCACGTCGGTGGGATGCTCAAGTCCCGCGCGCAGGGCTCCATGGTGACGCACCACGACATGCAGATGCACGCCGCCATGTACGGTGGCGGCGCGGTGCCGCCGCCGCCGCATCCTCCTCCGCACCACCACGCGTTCCACCAGCTCATGCCGCCGCACCACGGCCAGTACGCGCCGCCGTACGACATGTACGGCGGCGAGCACGGGATGGCGGCGTACTACGGCGGGATGTACGCGCCCGGCAGCGGCGGCGACGGGAGCGGCAGCAGCGGCAGCGGTGGCGCCGGCACGCCGCAGACCGTCAACTTCGAGCACCAGCATCCGTTCGGATACAAGTAGTAACAGCAGCAGAATGGCGATCGGTCTGCACCTGCATGCACACGTATCGCATGCAGATCGAGCTAGTAGTGCAACTGGCTAACTTGAACCAGTTAAAAACTTAAGACTTAGTGATCGTGTGTGGTTTAATTAATTTGCTACGTTCAGGTAGTGATCGATGAGATTTTAATTTCCTACTGTCAGTTTAATTCACCGTTCATGTACTCGATCCAGCTAGTACTACTCCTAGTTACCCTTGTTCTAATCTTAACGCAATTGTGTCGATCGGACGATCGCACGTTTATCTTCAAGTGGAATTTGTCTTATAACACTAATTAAGCGCCTGGAAGCTTATGTACACTTACTCAATTGTGTATTGATCCCTCAAGAGTTGTCAATTACTATTACAAGGTTCATATAAAAGCAAACTCATACAGTGAGTAAGTAGCCAAAGTAACAAAACTAAAAGTAAAAGCAAACTAATAAAAACCAAACAATATAAAGACTAACCATTACTGAATTCTATTGGTGAATCTCCACCAAAAGTTGGTAGAATGCTGCATAATCGTTGACTCAAGTTTACGACACATATCTTTTATTAGCTTGATATGATCACCGTACCTTTATAGTTGAGCCTATTTCTGAAGTCAGTATGTCTCTAAAAAGAACCTACAAATAAGATTTTGACTGCTCAAAATAAAGTTACCAAAACAAAGTTACACTTGCGCACTCGCACTGCATACCAACCCAACGGAGAGAGAGGGAGAGAGATCTAGAGAGAGAGGGAGAGAGATACGGCGCCATATACGGGTGGAGTACTACTGGAGTGTCGCGTGATTTGCCTTCCCCGGCCGGACGGACGCACGCGTGTCCGGTCAAGGACTCACGGTCGCTCGCCTGATCGACGTTGCGTCGCGCCCTCGTCGTACGTACTACGTTCCGAGCCCATCACCGGGCACCGGCGACACGCACGCACGGCGCGTACGTACATACGGATCGTGAATACTAACATATCTACCCAACCCGAATAGATTGCTACGTATCCAACCCGAGTGTTCAGTCTGCATACATACGATACGGGCATGTACAGACACAGCTGTTGCTCGTCGGGTCCGTATTATGATACTCTAAGAAACTTAAGCACAGTAATTGGAGGACGCGATAGAGTCATATGCGAATCATATTATCTAGTCATATGTATAGCAGGATTCTCAGATCGTATAATTGGGCACGCGCGCGCGCTGCCACACCAGCGGATGTTAATTTGGATGGCGCGTCACACGAACTAGCTTGCTTGCGGAGGGTACGTCGTCTCGCTGCCGGCACACGGACGTATACGCGTCGCGGAGGGTTGCCCGGTTCTTCCGCCGCGGCCCGCGGGCGTACGTTAATATATGCTGCTTTCAGCCGCGTGGATCAGTATCAGGGGCTTCGTTTCGTTTACCCCCTGCATCGGTGGCCAGTGCATGCCCGTCTCGGCTGCCCGCTTTGGGAACCGCAGGCCGCAGCATCGCCTAGTTTTGTGAGCTCTCTCCAGCATCGATCGCAGCTAGTAGCTCCTTCCCCATGTATGCATGCATTGCCTACGGGGGCCCTGTCGATCGATCGATCGATCCATCGATGCATCCTCCTCTGTATGTCTCTCTCCCCTACTGTACGCACGACCGGGTGAGGTCAGGTCAGATTTTTTTTTATTAGAGCAGGTACAATAGTATGCTATAAGCCAACTGTAATATAATATATTTTAAAGAGATAAAAAAAGAGAGAGAATAGCAGCGAGCTACATATATGTAGCTAGCTGTAGTATGGACTCCAATACATAATATGTGTATGACAGATGAGTTATTAATAGTATAATAAACAATTATTGCATGAATGGGCTATTCCCAACTCAAAACACTAGACATAGTTTTCATAAACTCCACATCATCAAGAAACTAGTATTATACACTACTATTTCAATGCAAACACCACTATTCCATACTTGACTTTAATGCTACTTATCTCACATGATATCTTGGATGATGTGTAGAAACCATGTCTCATGCAAGACATGGTTTCCTTCTCTTTCCTCATTTATTCACTTGTCATATTATTTTTTATTCTAAGTGACAGCTTATTTAATTCTATAGACACCATATTAGTCATTGGGTTGAGAATGACCTTACATTGTAGAGCAGTGGACTATAATATTAAACTTGCTCTTATTATTCTCTTTCTTTCTTGTGGCTGCTGCACCTGCACTGCACCCGCAACGGCGCTGAATGATGCCATGCGTGCGTGACGAAACATCTGCGTCCCCCCCCTGTGCGGCGCTGTAGCCATGCATGCAGGTGTGCAGCGCCCTGCATTCGCCATGCGGGAGAGCAGTGTACTCCTCCCCATTTTACCACCGACTGTTTACTAGCTGCTTCCAGGGGCACGCGCGCGCTGCTAGTGGTACGTACCACGATTCCTGGCTCCAACGTGCGCACGCATGCTTTAGAACGAATTTAGCTGTGCGCTGCCGCTTTCGGGCCCGTCAACAATTTGTACCAACCGTAGTATCCTTGTGGCTGTACCCTCTTCTAGGTTCTAGTGATGACATGCATGACAACTTTCCCAGTGAACACTGAATTGCAGCTATCATACAGGTTCCTAAACTCAAAAACTACTCGAGGGATGTGATGTGTGTTTCTGAATTTACGGATGAGAAGAAAGCACTCTGTTCACATTTGATGTTTTGGATTCCCTTGGGTAAACATAGTTTTAAATCTCTCGCTATAGCTGGCGCTATCTCCCGCTATAGTTGTTTGAAAAAGATTCTAGCTATTTGATCTCATGTACAATTTAGCCGCTATAGCTCTATTTAGCCTACTATAACTGTTTGAGAAGCTAACCGCTAAATGTCTTAGCCCGCTATTTAAAATATTGGTAAACATCACTGGCCAAACGCTTGCAGGCATTGCAACGGGTTCAGGGCTACCTTGTTATAGTCATCAATGACAAGAGTAGGCTGTCAAACACGACTGAGATACACGAAAAGAGAGCGCTCCAAACAATGTACGCCCGAGTTAAAACCCCGGGTTAAAGAAAAGCAGTTCTACAGAACAGTGATCATACACCTGCAGTCCAGTCTTCTTCAGTCATCGGCACCATTGCTTTCTTTACTCTGCTCAGCCTGGGGGAGAGCGCCTCCGGTGGGTGTCGTCGTCTCTGCTGCTGCACCGGGAGAGTGATCCTCAGCTGGCCTGGTGGAGGCATCCTCTGCCTCACCATTTTCATGTCTAATACACTGCTTTTTCTTAGCCATATCGGTGTCTTCCTCTTGTAGTTCTTCATCAACAACATCGTCATCATCTACATCCTCATCAAAAACCTTGGTAAGGTCACCTTGATTCTCAGCCCCTTCGGCGGCATCAACATTGTTCATGCTTATATCGACCCCATCATTTCCAGCTTCAGCTTCTCCTCTTTTCCTCTGTGGGATCACATGAAAGAACGAAGTCTTCCAGTCCCTTGTTTCCACAAACTTTAGCATTATCTCGAACACTTGGTTAACTGTCAGAACCTGCATAAATTACATAAAAGGAGAGTCAGCAATCTTCAAGTCTTTAGCACAAATTCTCCAACATCCAAATTCCGGGCCATTTTTATAAACTAGGGTTGTTCTAAATAACCCTCTATTTAGACTGATCCATGATAAATGATTGCCATAATATTAATAATAAGAGCCAATCAAAACACATAAAACTCTTACTACTGCACTAACACGTTTGAAGCCTTTGGAGAAGATCTTAAAAAAAACGTTTCTTTTTCTAAAAGAATTTTCAGGATCATTTAACATGCGGAGAGATAATATAACATATCACTGTATTATCTGATAGAAGATGTCACAACATGTAGGCATACTGGATTATTTTGAACCCTTATTGGAAGTATGGATGAAACACAAAACACCATTTGATTGAAAGAAATCAGGCAAGCCAACATTCTGTACTGGGAAAAACATATCCATATGATCACCTGAGAACTTGACATCTTTAAATAATTTCCAATAGGGAGCTTGGCACATTGAATCCCCTGATCAACCGCCTTTTTCAGTGTAATACCTTTCCATCTGTTCCGGTCCACTAGGCCACCGATGATGTATATTTTTGACATGTCTAGATCATCAAGCACAGTTTCAGCATCGGCTGTAAGGTACACAAGGTTTTCTTTACGATCTTCAAATGCTTCAAGATAAGACTTGGCCTCCTTTTCAATCATCCACTTATCATACCCAGGAATCCTTTGAAGATGGGTTGCCATTTCTCCATTGCAACCTGTCAACCATAGATGAGCAGGGTTCGTAGACCTCCCATTAACTGCATAACAGTACATGATCTGTAACTTGCATTAGTACAAGGGTAACAATTTTGCTCGAACTAGACATTAATGAAGGTAGAATGCTTTTTTTTTTTAGAAATTTCTAGGTAGAAGGCATTTTGGTACATAAAGACATTTTGATATTAACTTTTGTCAATATCAGAACATACTTCAGATAGAATAAGAGATCAATGCTATAGCATTAGCACATATTGATATATATGATTAAAACCAGATAGCACAAGCCACCAGGTTGTCGAAATAGAAAAATCATATATGCAAGATTCATATAACTGGTTTCTCTTACAGGTCTACACTTAACATCCAGTTGACACATGAATAAAAGATTCATACGTGAAACTGCTAACATCCAGTAGAAATTATGGACAAGTAATAAAAGTATAAAGATTTATTTATTTTTTTGGAAAAAAAGAATCAGGATATTTTTTTGGCACCTTTAACAAGCCATGCCAATACAAATATGTGATCTGCCATATACATTTCACAAGTAATCAAGTTACTGGAATGTCCTTCGGATATCATATATATCAATACACACATGATTCGCATATTAGCATTATTTCAAGCATGAAGTTTAGTTTCAGCCCAAAATGTACAAAAGCGAGAAGGGCAAAGCAAATCCACCTGCTGCGTGAGGCTGTGAATCTCGTTGGGCCGCATGAGATCTCCGAACTCGAGGTCCAGCACCACCTTCTGCCCGGCGCCCTCGGCCGCGCGGCGGAGCCGCTCGGCGCGTGCGCCGCGCTCCTCCGCGCGCCGCCCCACCCGCTCGCGCCGCGTCTGCCGCCGCGCCTCCACCATCTCGGCGCGGGCCTCCTCCGAGGGCGCCGCGGCCAGCGCCTCCTCCCACTCGCGCCTTCGCCTCTCTATGTCGGCGCGCCGGCGCTCCTTCTCCGCCGCCTTCCGTGCCGCCTTCTGCGCCGCCTGCCTCTCCTGCTTCAGCAGCTTCTTCCTCGCGCTTTTCGACATCGCCGGAGGCTGCCCTTCATCCGCGGCCCCGGCCGCGGCCACGTCCGTGGCTTGCTCACTCGCCGCGTCGTCAGCCATCTCAACTCGCCGCCGCCGCCGCCGCCGCCGGAGCAGTGGCTCGGTTTGGAGAGGGGTTTTTGGTTTCTCGGCACCACGTGACCGAATTACCGAAATAACCTCAAACGTATTACAAAAGTACGCCTCCTAGTGAAGTTAGCGTACATCAAAATTCCGCCTCAATCCAGGATGCAAACCTATGGGCTACGCGAATCTTATTTGCCACGGCCCAAATAGCCATGTAGATGAAGCCCATCTTGGAGCCCATAAGCGAAATGTGTGTGCTGTACTGCTGTTCCTTCGAGCCATTGACCGGTTGATCCGTTCGGTAGCTTCAGAGCGGTTAGACTCCCCCCAACGATCTGCATGGTGTGGCATCTCTTACCAAGTCAATCGCCAATCACGGCTGTCCATACGGAAGCCAGTAAGAGATCAACGGCTCTCAGTGAAGCAACGTCTCTTCTCCAAACCCAACCGCCCGGCGCGTACGCAGTCCACTACCACCACTTCCGCCGGCGCCACTCGCTTTCGTGAAGAAAACCTCTATATAAACTCCCCCGGCCAGAGACACCGCCACGGCTCACGCTCGCAACAACACAAAACCCTAGACTTGCACAGATCGAGACGAGAGAGGCTAGCAGCAACATTCTTCGACAATGGCTAGCCTTGCAATCTTCGCCGCTGTAGCCTTCGTTCTCCTCGCCGCCTCGGTGTCGTCGTCGTCGGCGGCTTTGTACACCGTCGGCGATGCGAGGGGGTGGGCAGTGCCGCCCACAGGCTCAGAGTCGTACAACCATTGGGGTCTAAAGAATCGCTTCCGCGTAGGCGACGTCGTGGGTAAGTACAAGATCATCGCCGATCTGCGAACGGCGATCATTATCACAGTTCGCATCATTTTGCAGAGTTCAAGTACGTGAACGAATCGGTGGTGGTGGTGAACCACGAGGGCTACAGGAACTGCAGCTCGCTGAGCCCGGTGATCCGGTTCACGGACGGCGACACCAAGTACCTGCTCGACCGCCCGGGGCTCGTCTTCTTCATCAGCGGCGTGCAGGAGCGCTGCGAGCGCGGCCTGCGGATGAGGCTGCGCGTCAGGCCCGCCGCTCCGGGGCCGGCGCAGGCGCCGGCGCCGGGGCCAACGAGGGCGGCGCTGACGCTGCGTCGTCCACCCATCGGCGCTCCCAGGCCGGCCGCCGTCACCGCCGCGTTCACCCCGACATCGCCGTCCGCTTCGCGCCCGAGCGCCAGAACCAGCCCGAGTCCCAGCCCTGGGCCGGCACAGGCGCCGAGCGGTGCATCTGGCCGCGCGCTCACGGGCTTCTCCATGGCAGCAGCGCTTCTCGTCGTGTGTGTCGTCTCCGTGTTCATCTTGGTTTGAGGTTATTTGGAGAGGTTTAATTAGCTCTCTGTCGGTCGGTAGTATCGTCGGTTTTGATAGGAATTAATGCTATAATTCTGAGATCCAAGAAGAAGAAGAAGAAGAACGTGTCATGTCATCTCGCGGTAGATGACAGGATCGAGTCCATTTTTGTTAATTAGGGTGTTCCAATGTTTTGTCTAGGGTACTTAATTAAACCCTTATGGCCTTATGTACGTAAACCCATTCCCTCAATAAAATCCCACCAGTTTTATTGTGAAGATCGACTTGGCAATGCCCTCAGATCCACTGGAGTGATTGTTTGATTTGCCATGGAAGTTGAACTGTGCAGCTCCCTATGTTTAACGGCGGATAATAATTTTCTACTTAAGTGTCATGGCACCTATCATTTACATACAACAAAAAAATTTTAAAAAAAATTCAGTACAATTGATGATACAAATTTATACACAAACATATATGACTATGGGCCTATTTAGTTCGCGAAATAAAAAAATTTTGGGTATCAAATCAGATGTTTGACCGGATGTCGGAAGGGGTTTTCGAACACAAATGAAAAAACTAATTTCATAACTCGCTTGGAAACCGTGAGACGAATTTTTAAGTCTAATTAATCCGGCATTAGCATATGTGGGTTACTGTAGCACTTATTAGGCTCAAAAGATTCGTGATTTCCTTCCTAACCGTGCAATTAGTTTTTCTTTTAATCTATATTTAACGCTTCATGCATGTGTCCAAAGATTCAATGTAGAGAAACAAAAATAATAAATCTTATATGTATGACGCAGATAAAAATTGTTATTTATTGTTTCTTCACATGTAGATTAATTTTAGATTTGCATGTTTGTAATAGTGTCTTATATTATCATAGTTTATCTTATCAAATTTTATAAAATTTTTATATAACTACTTAAATTACATGTACATGTGTAGAAAATACATTCATGTTAAACGGCCCAGTCGATCTCACTTTGAACAGGCGAAAGAAAAGTCCGGAACAGTTCAGTTCCGCGCGCGCGATTCCACCGGCGAAACGGGAGCTCCACGTCCGCGTTCTGTTGCGCCTCGCACGCCCGGTTCCACCGCTCGCGCCGCGCGCTCGGCTCCCGTCTCGTCCACATCCCCCGCGACCACGTACGCTGCCACGCCCGCGCCCATGCCCACGCCCACGCCTGCGGCCGCCGGGCCACCGGTTGGTTGTCCGCCTCTAGTTTCCAGGTCGTCCAGAACCTGGGAAAATCAACCGAAAAAAACTCAAAACAGGCGAAGTAATCGTTTGAAAACGAAACGATTTTAGGCAGCGTCGCATGCAAAGCATGCCACAAGAAACAGGGCATAAGTAGGCGCCTCCATGCAGCGCCCCATGAAAAGCATTCCGATTCCTCTGCTCCTCTTCCTGTTCCCCCCCCCCCCCTCTCTTCTCTCCCCCCGGCCGGGGAAGAAATTTTGCCCCCAAAATAATTTTCTGCACGGACGATCAAAGAAAGGGCAAAATTTTTCTGCGCCTCCGGTTGAAGGAAGCCGTGATCCATGTCGGTGAGTGCTCGTCCTCTGCAGGGTTTGTTAGAGGCGTTGCATCTACGTACGTGCAATTTGATTTGGATTCTCGGTTCTTTCTTTCTTGACCATATGCATTGATTGATCGATCGATGCTGCCATTTGGTATATCTTTGCATTATACCGTTTATTCCTTTGAATCAATTGAGTACCTGATGGCAATTGGATGTGTGGAGAAACGTTCAGGGGTTTTCCGATTAGCTATACAAGGTGGTGATAGACGATCTGGGTTCGAAGCCTCAGCCCTCCTAATTATTTGATATTAAGTCCTCTCCTAATATCCATGTCTTTTTATTGGATGTGTGACGAGGAACTTCTCGCAAATTGGATCGACAGGAGCAACCTAGAGAGATTGATTACAAGAATGAAACTAAATCTATAGAAACGTAGATTGGGACTTTTTCCCTCTGTTCTCTAATCGGGACGAAACAGGGCAAACGGTACAATATGCCCTCACGCTATTGTGACCCTTAATTTGTATTGTCTTCAACTCTTCATTTTTCAAACTTGACCATTCCGATTTGTCTTCTAAATAGCCCAATTGATATGCGTGATACAGAAGCAATCTGCAATAGCACGCTAGCTTACTCGTATCATGCATAATCACACTGATCTTGTCATATACATGGGTTGGTTTTTTTTTTTCTCATCAAGGACGAGACTGGCCGCACCATTCCAAAGTTCGGCGCATGGGACGTCAACAACCCGGCCTCTGCCGACGGTTTCACGGTGATCTTCAGCAAAGCCAGGGATGAGAAGAAGGGCCCCGTCAACGTGGACGCCAGCACCAGGTCAAACTCTGACATGAAAGACTCCAATAACAATAAGGCAACAGAGAAGATCAACCCCTACCACCGCAGGACAAACTCCGCATCAGTATATATATACTTCCTTTCTTCCATTTCCTTCCTTAGCATCACATTATTGATCTCAATGAAAATGAAAAAAAAAAGAGATCATCATCAGATCTTTGGCTTGTTACATGTAAGTTACTATTGTTTATTGATCTGTTTTTGCAGAAGAAGTGGTTTTGCTGTGTGTCGCCCAGCCCCACCCAACCTTGAGGAAGCAAAGGAATACCAAATATAACATGATGCTGCTACTGCCGCCTTGTTAATGCATATAGTAATGATTATACACACCCAGTTGAAAATGGCCCGGTGTTATTCTGTGATGGTTGCTCTGTTGTTGTGAGGAGGCTGGTCTTGAGCTCCTCAAGCCTGTCTGTCAGTGACAACAGCGCCATGTATGATTTGTTTTCCGCCGGGCCAACCATGTACGAGTGTATGACTGTTACATGAGAAATTTATGGGTATATGATGATTAAAAACGTCATGATTTTGTGTGTACTCGTTGACGTTTGATTGTAATTATCCATTCGCTCTTGTCCTTTTTCTTATGGTTCTGCAGTGTGATCCTTCCTCAACTTCATCAACTGTCAACTAGTAATTCTGAAACTGTACTGCCCAGTGCCCAATTCAGACTTCTGATCCTGCTGTAACTTCAGTAAGGTTATACATTGGTACCCACTTTTGTTGGAACCTGCATGGGAAAAAAATGTAGGGAGAACCTAGAAACTACCTAAAGAGTAAAATGTATAGGTGGTATCACAACTTGTGAGGTGGGTGCAGTTTAGTCACTCAATCTTACAAATTGCTCAAATAAGTCACTCATCTTACTTCGATGGTGCAAATTTTACCGAATATATTGTCACATGGATTATTTGTTTTTAGATTGGAGGTCGTATTAGTTTTAAAAAAACAATTGGAGGTTGTATTGACCTCACATCTTACATTTTTTTTAGGAAAAATTGGAACCATGCCATTATAATTTCGCAAAATTTGAGATATGCCATCCTGACCCACGTGTCATTCTTTTTTTTAAGCCATGTGGGTAGGGCAAGCATTACAATTACAAATTAGCACTCATATTTTTCATGTATATACTAATACTCCCGCTTTCAATGAACATGGCCATATTATGCTTGACAATCAATAAAAAATTCATCTTTAATTGGATTTTAATACTGGTAGTATTGTACGTTGGCTTATTTATGGATCGTGTGACCATGTTTACAAAACAAATTAACATAGCACATAACTTCATTGCGAACATCCCACACAACACATGTTTTGTATGATTTGCATCCTAAAACAAGATGAGTAACTTGTTTGAGTATTTTACAAGATGGGTGACTAAATTGCACCCATTTCACAAGTTGAGGTACTAGCGGTGCATTTTACTCCTACCTAAAATACACAAATACACGTCTAAGATTTATCCATGTCATCCCGGCAATAAAAAATTTACTCGTGGTGAATTACTCGGGTGATGTGAATAAATCTTAGATTTCTATTTGTGTATCCTAGGTAATTTTCAGGTTTTCATTACACATGGATACATATTTTCCCGGTCTGCACAGTTTTCAGAATGTAACCTCAGAAGAGAACATCTATGTGCCACCCCTCCACAGTATTGAAGCTCTTTTAAGTTTAATTTCTTCCTGATATATAGCATTGTACATACTGTACGTAATATCATTTACATATTGAGAGTATACAGAGTGGCAACACAAAGCAAATGGAAACTCGAGCGACAGAAGCTGGCAAGCTGCCCTTGTCCCTGCGGAGGAAGAGCGCCTCATAAACCGGAGAATTGATGGCTACTATCAGTACACACAGAACAGCCTGGAGAAACAAAGTTTCCAAACCCCCTGGGCCTTCTTGTAACAAAACTCTACTAATTCCTAACACCATGCATGCCAGGTTGAGCAGCGCAACTGTCGTAAGGATTACAAACATCGCCGAGAAGGATCCGAATTCCATCATCCCCTTCTTGTACCTCTCCAAGGCCTGCAAGTCAGTGACCTTCACTGTCAGGTTGAATCCAGACTCAGAGATGCCCAATATTCTGCGGAATGTGTCGATGGTTGCCAGGAGGTATGAGGTGATCCTTCTAATGAGCCACATCCTCTGTGCATTCCACCACTCCACTGCACTGTCACCACATTGCAGTGACTCTGCTAAGCTGCAGGAGTATGCGGCCACCATAACGTACGCAAAGGGTATGAACCAGGGGCTAGTTTTCTGAGTTAATTGCAGATGTAAATCTTGTGTTAAACTTTAAGCCAAGTGCGTACAAATGTCTGAACAAACGTTAAAGCATATGGAAACTTACCTCAGGAAAGAGGGAGATGCCATTGAGGAAGCAAAGAGAAGGAATTGTGACATAGTACAAGGTGGGGAAGCTGTTCACGGCCCAGAAGCCGCAGACAGAGTAGCCCATTTGAAGACCCAGCTTGATCTTCCCATGACCTAATAAGAAGGGGCTGTACCGTGAGAGGGATATTTGGAGGAACCCTTCTGTCCATCTCTTGTACAGGACCAGGATCTGGCCTAGTGAGGTGGGTGTCATGCCTAAGAATCCCTTTCTTTTGGGGTTGTAGTACACTGATCTCCATCCACGGCATTGGATTTGTAATCCTGTAGTTACATCCTCCAGTGGGCACCCATACCTAACCCCCTTCTGCAATTCAGCAACTTGAAGTCAGTAGCTGTAATCAGTACAAAATGAACAAAGTTCTGTAACTATGCGAATGCCCATTGCTGGTTGATGGCTATAGAGGATAAAATCCAACAGTTTACATGTTCAGGGTATGAAGTAAGAGACTAACATACCTCAATTCCCCAGATGGTGTTATGCTCATATGTGCAAGTCACAAGTGACCTGCCCATTTCTTCCAACTCATTAGCATCTTCTGTTCTCCCTGCTACCCTAGTCCAATCTTCCTTATATTCTTGACTATAGATTCGTCCACATAGGGCCTCTCTCCGATGGAAGCATCCAGTGCCATAGTAACACATTCCACCCCAACCATCCAAGCAAGGATGATCCAACTGGTGATCAACGGAATGAAATCACAAACAAAGTTAGGTCCAATTGTGTAAGTATGTCCACTGAAATTTCAGGAGATGCTATGCTATCTTACTACTGACCTCGTTGACAACATTGATTGGGTGGCCATAGATGTCATTGTGCACCACATTTTCAAAATTCTGAGGATACTGTACAAAACCAATATCTTGGCCTTGCTCTTCATCTAGGAAAAAACACAATGCGTCTCTGATGGACTCTGAATTGTTTGAGTACATATCACAATCAACATTCATGATGATTGGACTGTTGCTTATCACTGATGATACCCTTATCTGCAAATATTGACCATAATTTAAGGAATTCTAGAAACACGATAAGGTTGACTCTAAATTGTTGCGGTAGAAAATCATGGACCATAGAGTGGCTAAAAGACCCACCAAAGCATTCAAAGATCCAGCTTTGAAGTGATGCTGTTTCTGGGGTTTCTTCTCACGTGCCATATATACAAGTGTTGGCAATGCATTTCCATCAATATCAACTGCCTTTTGTTTGTTACTATCGATTAAAATCTAGCCATGGAGAACACTTTGATCAGCAGAATCCACAAATATGTTGCAGACAAGAAAAACAAATTTCATATCCCATTAAAGTTTCTTGTGCATGTACATTCTTATATGTTAGCAATTATGATTAGAGCCAACACACCAGCTTTGTTTTAAAATTTTCTAATCATCTCATTATTCTGAATTTTGAATTCAATTAAATGTTCTTCATCTGTTAACCTGGTCATCACCACATAACTTTTACCTGAACTATAGAAGGGTGATCACTAGAAGTGAAATTCTCATTCCACTGTGAGAAGCCTCTGGAATGGCATCGTGGAACCTCGGGGATCCTACCTGAATTTACTACTGAGTTCACACGATCTGTCATGTCTTTGTACAGTTCCTGAAACACAGAAAAAAGAAAGTAAAGGTAATAAGTAGACATGTAAATCACTAGTAGTGCACCAAATGGAAGCCAGTAATAGTGCACAGACTAAATTGATAACCTGAAAACAACCTCTCGCGTCGCTCTCGCGCGGGTGGCTCAGGGGGCGAAAAAACCCTAGCCGCCCACGCCTCCACTCCCTCCCCACCGCCTCGCCGCCGCCGGAGCTCGCCGGCGGCAAAGCCGGCAGCGAGCAGGGAAGGCGGCGGCGAGGTTCTTCCTCCCGGCGACTCCCCCCGGCGTGACGTGGACGGGACGACGACGCCGGCGAAGACCCTCCACCGCGGCCGGAGGTGGCGATGGCGGCGCGGTGTGGGGAGGCAGCAGATCCGGCGCCTCCAAGGCCGGATCCGACCACCCCACGCCTGGATCTGGCACAACGGCGGCGCGAGGTGGCTGGGGGGGCGGCGGCAGCGGCGGCAGGGACGGCGCGGCTGGCCCGGTGCGGCAGCCTGGGCGCGGTGGCGGTGGCTCGACGGCTGGGATGGCGGCTGCCTAGAGGCGGCGGCGGCTGGGAGCGGCGGCGGCAGCTCGGCGCGCGGCCGGTCCGGGCAGCCCGGGCTCGCGCGGCTCGGCAGTGCGGCGGCGAGCCCCCATGGCGCAGGCAGGCCTCGGCAGCCGGGCAGCCAGGGTGACGCCGCGGTGCCCTCCTCAGCCGGGTGGGCTATGCGGCGCGGCCAGATGGGGTGCGGCGGCCGGGCGACGGGGGCGCCGGTGGGTTGCGCCGGAGCCGGAGCAGCAGAAGCGTCTCTGGCGTCGGCGCAAGCCCAGATGGCAGTGTAAAGGGAGCTGGCGGCGGTGGGTCGTCTTCTCCGTTGCCGGTCGGCACCCTCGCCCTTCCTGGAGCTCCTCCCCTTCTCTGTGGGGAGTTTCTATGTTGGATTGAGGCGGCAGCTCGTCAAGCGGGGGAAACTCAGGCTGCCAAAGCAATGCCATCCAGTCCCGGTTCTCCTTTTGTCCAAAGCTGGCGAGGAGGCCGGCGGGTGGTGGAACGGAGGGGTCCTGGGCCAGCTCTCAGGGGCGGTGGTTGATGTCGGCTGACGGAGGGGCGTCAGTGCGGTGTGGTTCGATGAAGTCGGTCGATGGAGGGGCGTCAGTGCGGTGTGGTGGAAGCTACGTGTTGCCATTTGTCTGTGTAGTGGTTCTGAGTTGGTGGACGGCGATCTACAGTCAAGGTTGTAGGGTCCCAGGCAAAAGCCTAGTCCGGTAATTCACTGGGCCGGCAGCGGCTATGTCTTCGGGCGTCGTAACCTCCTTGGGGCGTTGTCAAGGGTTACCCTCTTCCTTTCTCGATAAGCTTCTCTGGGTGAAAACCACATCTTTTTTAGATGGGCGATGGCGGCATCCTGGATGTCGTGACCACCGTGGTGGCTTCGTTTTCGGAGTCTTGTCTCTGTGGTGTTGCCGTAGGCCTAGCGGCGTTCGGCCATTCTTAGCGGGGGTCATTTGGTGCTAGGCTTCACCCTCAGCGGTTTGTGCTTGGGTGGTAGTGCGTGCTGTGAGGTCATGCACCTTGGTGCATTGTGATGTTTTTTTTTTCTTGTAACTTTTACTCCTTCTTAATATATTTGGATGGCCTCCTTCGGCCTTCCCGGCGAAAAAAAAGTAATAGTGCACAACAGCAATTTAGTTGAAGATGAACTACATTACATCACAACAGTTTCAACTCTACCTTCATGGTAAACCACTCTTTAGGTCCACACCCATCAGGAGGGGAAGCTACTTTAGCAAAGTAAGCAGCTGGTGATCTGGGTTCCACCTTGTACTTCTTGCAAAATGGAATCCAATGCTTTGCAAACTCGGATGCCTCGCATAGAACGTAGAATGTTAAAACCGAACCAGCATCATCAGATAAGTAGATGTTCAGCTTCTCAGGCAGGTAGTCATAAGCCATGACAGACAAAACAGTGGAGATGACAAGCATCGGTGGCTCTGCTGTTGGATCCGCTGTACAGACAAAAATGTCCACACTGGGAAGCTCGTCTTCACTGTAGCTGTTTGCAATCAAAATTCTAGCATCATAGCATGTCTTTCAACAACAATTCTACATATCCTTTTTGAGCAAACGTAATCAATACTACATATCTTTTTTGAGCAAAGGATAATCAGTACATATCCAATGAAAGAACAAACCAAGCAAGGAGAAGGAATTGCGACACAGATTAACCTTGATAGCAGTTGCTGGTACTATCGAGAGCCGGGAGGTACCTTTGAGCGAGGCGGTCTTTGAAGGTGCGGCGGTAGACGGGGCACCACCGCACGGACAGCGTCAGGACCCAGTAGAAGCCGAACCAGAGCTCCGCCGCGAGCATCCCGAGCCACGCCCACCGCCGCACGCCGTCGCCGCCACCGGGAGGCAGGTGAGTGGCTCTGTACAGCCATATCAGAAGAACTCCCGCGAAGACCGTGGCCGCGGACACCCGGTACGCCGCCATCGCCATCCGCCCCGGTTTCTCCGTCGCGAACAGCGGGGGCCCGCGCTGGCGGCCGCCGGAGACGACGCCGCCGCCGCTCCCCGCCATGCTCCCTCCTACCTGCGAAGTATGGAGCAGATGGCACTGGGACTTCAGAGGAGTGGGTGAGTGCTACTGCTGACTACTGAGTAGCCTAGTAGATGGTCAACACAAGCGAACGTCCAAGGCTTGCACCCACCCGCGGCTGCGCTGCAAAGTTTGACGTCTAGTAGAGCAGCATTACTGTTCATCAGGAGAAGATGATGAAATGGACGTTGCAGGCATGGAAGTTGGGGTGAAAACAGCAGAAATAGAAGGGATATTATGCTATAGATATCGAGGGGAAACCCCTGAAACAAAATATACACGAGATGACTCCACTGGTACATTGTTGCATGGTGCTATAGTAGATTTAAACCAAGATATGGACTGTTCAATCGCAAGTTACAACTAGTGTCTTCTATTGAGCTGTGACCACTTCTAGTCTTCTAGCATCAGTTGCTTGTCGGCTGAGATTGTAATCTGATTTGTCAATTTCCTTTTCTTCAACAGTCTGAGCTTCATCAGCAACAAAGACAACCTGAAAGGAAGAAGCTGCAGAATATAGTGCCCAGTCAGTAATATGGTATCCAACAGCTGAAAGTGGCTTAACATGAGATATATTGAGAATTACCAAGATACTAGAGATTAAACATTGTCCTCGAAATCTTCAGCTAACATTGAAAAACAAATCCATCCTTTTATTTGAAGAGCTTTCTGAGCCCATTGAACAATGACAGAGCTTTAAGTTCACCACCTCTCATGTCCCTCAGTCTCCTACGCAATATCTGTAAGAAAAAAGAGGGTTGTAACTTGTAAGAAGTTAAGAATAACCACATGATGAACACAGAGAAGTAACAATATAGCATGCATTATTGACTTACATATTGTGTACGATACAGGATTCTCCGTTCACTAATGCAAAGATCTCTTGCTAGTTGTTTTAGCAGTAACGTCCGGTTGGCTTGCTTTGAATTGGTTGAAAGTTGCAGAGACCCACTGCTACCCTGAAACATTATTGATTGGCGTACATTAGTTTGTTAGCACTCACAAAAGTATCCATAGGATCATCAGAGAACTAGTTTGCATAATGTACTGTTTAAATATCACGATAAATTAACTAGAAGTTCTGCAAGATCTTCCATGGAAAGGATCTCACCTCTAGGAACTTTGTGTATTTTGCTATGTTAGACTCACAACAGTCCAAGATAAACTGAAGAGCTTGTTCCTCCAGTTCAGGATAATTAAGTCCAGGCTTGGATGGACTTTTATTTGATGCAGCGACAGCCATCTGAAAGGATAAGCTTTGGGAGATCACTCATATAGAATAAGTGTAAGCTCAATTTATCTTCAACAAACCCCTAGTTTTACCTCAGTCAACAAGATCCCGAAATATCGGTGCAAAACAGAAATGACAAACCTCTTCAAAACGTTGGCTCATCTCGGGAGGGCTGACCACAAGAAAGGCATAAGCCATCAACTCAACTGGCCATCCTGTGACGCGTAAAGGGAAACTTTCAAACCTGTAAGTAATGAATCAGTGATCAGATCCACTTATATTGATAGCAAAAGTACGATTTGATAGTGACAGAGATGTGCACTGTAAGATAATCGCAGGGGAGTTGAAACAACACTGCATATTCTAATATTTATGAAATTTTACTCATTTTTTTTTCTTCTGCAGACCACACCAGTTACACAACTAAATACTGTTTTCAGACTTCGTTCTTGATGGCATGTTCAAATGGCGATAAGAGAGCAAACATGCCACAAAATACTCCAGCCTAAGGTCTAATGGATGTTCATTTTAGCAAGATGATATAAAGGCACAACAACGCGACAGTTAAGAGAACATTTTCTTTCACTCACTATGAGTTGTTAGCACGCAAGGATATGATCGCTTACTCTGACAATCCATTTCTTTTTAGTGCTTGTAGCTTCTCTTTGTAGCACTTATCAGACTTATTAAGAGACACCAGCAATTCAACTGAATCATTTGGGTTTGTTCCCTCTTTTGGAACAAAACCATATGAAAGCAATAGCTCGCCACTGGATTTCTTGCCATAGGATATAAACACCTGAAGAGGATATTTTAGAAACGGATAAGTTTAAGAGTTAACTGCATGAAATAACTACACCTAGACATAACCCACAGAAAAATCTCATTAACTCCATTTTAAAGAAAAGGATGGCTGACAGATCCAAATGTTCCATGAATCACACTTAAGTACAGTATGCTATGTTTGCACAAAACAAAATTTATAAAATGGATGAACTCCAGATGTTTTGGGAACGCATCCTAAAACTAGTGTCAAGATTCAAGATGATTTGCTTACTACTCCCTCTGGTCACAAATAAGTAACGTTTTGGAATGCGTCCAGTCAACATGTTCTCTTTAAATATTTCTTTAATCGTCACCATCAATTTCTTTAAATATCTTGATTCAACTTTTGAAAGTGATATGGTTAGATTCATCTTCAAAAAATAGTTTCCAAATATTATAACTTTGATATATATTTTATGAGTTTTATACTAGTAATTTGTATAAAACAACTGTAATGGTGACTGTGTTGCTGTCTAGAATGACACTTATTTGTGACCGGAGGTAGTAATAGGCAGAGATACCAATCTATTGGTAGAAAACAAGGATCCTAGTAAGTTGAATTTTTTTTGACGTAATAATTTTTTTTTGACGTAAAGTAAGTTGAATGAAACAGTAAAAAAAATTGCTATCATATTCACAAGGTTAAGTTAAAAATCCCCAATCTTGAAACAGCAATATAGGGCTAAAGCATAAATGAAAAGCGTTACCTGCTCACCTGGTTGATATGAACGATCGGTAGTGAAAACTATTCCCCCTGAGGATTTATCATAATCCAAGAATGTTTCCACCTGAAAATTTATTTTGCAAAAAACTTATGAAGTAATCTCTAACAATAAGAATGTCATGAAGACCTATGAAATTGTACAAGTAATGAAAACTATGGGAGACAGAGTGCTTAAGGAATTCTGTGCACTATTCATAATGATTCTTTGTTACTAACATACAAATCGAACCTCAGGACTATGGTTAAGCATATCTGCCCAAGGAACTAGTGCAACCCTTCCATCCATTGATGGCAATCGAACCTGCAAATCATTCCAATGAACATTCTTGTTTAGCAGAATGACATCAACAGCAAGCAATGCAAAAGCCTTCAATTTTGTAACAAAACAGGTAACTGGAGAATACATGGTGGAAGTAAAAAAAATGTTTTTACTGCATTTGGTAAGTTCATAGTACTTTAGCTTACCAGGCGTGAGAAGAGGATGCCGAAGGACCATCTAAACGTCTCTAAGTTGTAAACCTAAAATAGTAAAGTTAAGTTATATTAGATAAACCAACCAGGTTACACTAAAAACACATGATATTTTAGAAGTAATATGTGATATCTCTCATGTGAGTGAACCAGTACATTTCTTAGTGCGTAGTATGTAGACCACTTTCACATCTTTGTGTTAGTACTGAAAGCTAAAGAATGATATAATCCTTAGCCTTGTTATATATTTTAACTTGCTGAGACTTAAAAAGTAGAATCTAGGTCGGAAAGGCCTCTTGTGTCATTAGTCTCAACAAAGAACATACTAACTTTTGTGAAACATACCTCCTCAGGGAACAAATCTGAATGCTTAGAAAATATTCTGTCACGGAGATCATTGTATCTGCCAAAACCAACAGAGTAAGATTTTACAATTAAGGCTAAATGACCATCAGGACTACAGCAGAAAGAAAGAAAAAACATACGTTCCGACCACATCAGTGATCCTCTGAATTGCGCGTTCCCTGATCGGCGAAGCCACCAAGTATGCATCAAGCTCAGGCCTAGTCCTGCAACAACAAATAAAGGCTGTACAAGATTGAGAATGCAATCTCCAAGCCCCACCGAACTTCCCCCATCAACAATAATCGTCAGGCTATACCAGTACAACAGAGAGTAAGGCTGCCTTGGCAACGCCGCTATGTAGCTGCTCCACCTCGACGAACTCTCTAAACTAGCTTCGCTTATAAGGTAGGTAGCAATAAGCGGCCAATCCGGCACAGAATTTCTCTTCAACACATTCCCCACCTCAGGGCAGCCCCATTCCTATACAAGAAGCACAACAAAAATCACCAAATTGACAGTAAATTCATCACATGAAGCACCTGAAATCCACCATTAAAGCTATCAACGAGCGGGGGTAGTGACTAGTGAGAGGGAGGCTAGGGCTTTCTTACTGAGTCAGCTGTAATGACGAGGGAGGGAGGCACGAAGAGCAGCTTCTCCCCCTTGCGGATGTTCTTCAGCGCGACGAGGCCGCGCTCACCGACGTCCACCCGCTGTATCCCCAACCTCTGCTCGGGGAGCCCCGAATCGGTGAGCCACCTCTCCAGCGACACGGCGCTCTCCAGGGACTCGATCTCGCAGCCCCACGGGACTCCCGCGGCGGCGGCCTCCCGCTGCGCCGGCGCCGACGCCGACGCCGACGCAGCCGAGGCGCGGACGGGGGATCGGATGAGGACTCCTGAGGGTAAGGCTAGATGCTGCCGGAGACGGCGAGGCGAGCGCGGCGGCCGGAACTGCGTGTGGAGCGCGAGCGCCGCGGCGGTGGCCATGGCGGAACCGCGAAATGGCGGTGCGGTTGTGTGCGGGCGCGGGGGGCTTATCCGCTTTGCCAGTCGCGGGCTTGGCTTTTTTATGCGACACTTTTGTGGGCTGGCTGCAATTATTGGGCCTTTTTGTTTATTAGGCCGTGAGGTAGTACTACACGGAATGAAATAAGTTCAATATTACTCCCATAGCTAGTGGTGGAATCTGATTCGTATCCCAAACCATAATATCGATATATCGACCCCCAACTATTAAAACCGGTGCACATTTGACTTCCTCGATGATTTTGGAGGATGGTTTCGCTGATGTGGCGACTACGTGGTGGTGTTGACTTAGTCTTCGTCCTACGTGATGCCACCGCTATGTTGACCAAGTCTCGGCCAGCTTCACATCTCCCCCGTCTCTCCCTACTACAAGCTCTCCCGGCGACGGTAGCCGGCGGCGGTGCCATGTAGGATAAAGACCAGGTCAAACACCGTCTCGTAGTTACCACGTTAGTGAAACTGCCATCCAAAATCGTTGAGGGAGTCAAATTACACTGATTTTAATAGTTGAGGGTCGAGATATCCAGTATTGTTCTTCAAGGATACGAATTAGATTTGGCCAATAGTTAAGGGAGTCAAAGTGAACTTATTCGTCCACGGAATCTTACTGACAGGTGTGGCCCACTGGACTGACAGTGTGACACGCGCTCCTAGTTGACATCAATCGCCCTCCTCTTGTGGGCCCCGCTCTCGCCAAAAAGAAAGCAACAGAATTCAAACGCAAAACGTCACTGACAAGTGGGACCCTATACGTGGGATCACTCTTTCCCCTCTCGCAAGAACATCTCGAGCAATAAAAACCCCGAGAGAAAAAAAAAAGAATGCTCGCCATTTTCCCCAAGCTCCCGAAGCGATTTCCATTTCAACTGCTCTTCCTCCCTTCGCAGCACGCACGTCGCCGTAGCCACATGGCCGACCCTTCCAGATCCTCCCCCACCGCGGCCGCCGCCGGCGACGCCCTCCTGGCGGCGGCGGCGGCGCCCGGTGACGCGCCGGACGCGACCGCCCTCGCCGTGGCGGCCGATGCGGACGCGGAGTTCGGGTTCCAGCGCGCGGAGCTCGGGACGGAGAAGCTGGCCGGCACGGTGCAGTTCCACGAGCGCCACGTCTTCCTCTGCTACAAGGGGCCCGAGGTGTGGCCGTCCCACGTCGAGGCCGCGGAGTCTGACCGCCTCCCCCGCCTCCTCGCCGCCGCCATCAAGACCCACAAGTCGGACTTGAAGAAGAAAGTGAGTGTTTCTTCACCCCCTCCCCCTTTTTTGGGGGCTGAGATAAGCTGATTCGGTGCTTTCATGTCGTATTCTTGATTGTGGTAGGTGTTTTTTTTTACTTAGATCGGTGTGTAGTGGGAACTGCTTGGTGGTTTTGGCCCAACCCTAGGATTGTGCTCGCCAATAGAGTTCGATTAGCTTGAACTATCATGTGGAGTAGTGTGATTTTGCTTGTCAGGTGGCAGCATATGATGAGGTGATATTTCGTGTACGAGGTTTTAGCCCTTGCTAACAAATTGGTCGATTTGATGGGTGTTTTGCCAGATGGTTTAATTGTTACCTGCCTGTGATTGTAAATTGAGAAGTAGAGCTTGTTGACGTTGCAGTGATCCAAGGTGCAGTGCTGTTCATAAGCTGATGTTTCATGTCAGTTTATGCTATATGGTCCTCGTGTCACTTGTTACCATTTCTATTATTGTGTTTTGGTTAACGATGTGGTTATCGGTATTCTCCTTTAAGGTTAGGGCTATTTCAGTTGGACATGTGAATTGTGTTTTGGGAGTTTGGACATTTTCAGGATTTTACTTATTCTGTTTGTGTATATTGTGGCTGTGCTTACTAAAATAAACGGTGATTCAGTGGTATCATATAGTATTGCAGTTACAGAGTTACCGAAAGTGCAGCAAAATGCTTTTGGCTGTTGTTTTGTCCTAAGAGAGTATTCGCCCCTGTGTTGCCAGGTTATAGAGGAGGCAGTATTTATTGTTTGTTAGAATTGGGGGTATGGCATTACTCAGTATTATCAACCAACCTACAGTTGCTTATTACCTGGCCTTATGCTAGCTTCATTCTCATTAGTTATGAAGAAAATTCTAGGATTGGAAGTATTTCTAATTGGTATTTTTCTTGCTAATGAGTGGTGTATTCATTCCTCAGACCAAATTGACCATTTGTGAAGGAGAAGATGGCACTGAGTCATCCAATGGAGACGTGTTGATCTTTCCAGATATGATCAGATACAGGTAAGTTCTAATCCCCAAACAAAATAAACATACAATCTTTCTTCTTGTGTTAGATATTCTGATAAATAAGCCAGTTGATTATCTCTATTCAATTTGTCATGTAATGTTTGCAGAGGGCTGACCCACTTTGATGTTGACAACTTTGTTCAAGAAGTGCTTGTGAAAGATACTGAATGGCTTCCTGGATCTCCTGAGGCTATAAAAGGTTCCTATGTTTTTGTTTGCTGCCATGCAAGCAGGGATAAGAGGTGTGGTGTCTGTGGACCTGCTTTGATTAAGAGGTTCAAGGAAGAGATAGGTGTACAAGGCCTTGCTGATCAGGTGTCAGTCAGTGCATGCTCACATGTGGGAGGCCATAAGTATGCAGGAAATGTCATTGTTTTCAGTGCAGATGCCAAGGGAGAAGTGACTGGTCATTGGTAAGAACGAAAGTGTAATTAAATTTGTATGCACCATTGAACTTAATGCTCTAATGTAGCTCCTCATTTTAATTATATGCACTATAACTCAGTGCTTGCTTACCTAAATTGCATTTGTAGGTATGGTTATGTTTCTCCTGATGATGTGCCTGTCTTGCTACATAAACATATTGGACAAGGAGAGATCGTGGACCATCTATGGAGGTACCCTCTTGTACTTAAATCACAGGCTGATGTCAACAAGGTTGATATTAGTTCTACCAATCATTTGTATCTTGTGCTGTGTGGTGCCATTTAGGACTGTCAACATTTCAATTTACATCTTTCTCTTGCTGTTGTTATCAGCATGCATGTCACATGATATGCTTATGCAAACGCACATCACAGCATGTCAGCATCTATGACTAATAGTCTAAACACTGTACAAAATCTGCTTTGTTGTTCTAGTTTGATACTTTGGTTGTACGTCTTGCAGCATTTATTTTTTTATCTTATATAAAAAAATGGTTAACTTCAAGTGCCCCTCACAATCTTCAAAATTATTATTATTTTATTATTTAAGGGAGATACGATACCGTATCAGAAGTCTCCATTTGAAATTTTCTTGAGCATTATAATAAAGTAGGCCAAAACCATGTGCTACAAGCATGTGTGGAGATGAACTCTGATGTAGAGTTGACTTTGACTTCATCCAGCTGAATTGTTATTCATTCAGGAATGCTTATTTTTGTTTGATTCCATCGCCAAATTATTGTTTATTCTGCCTTCTAGTTTGTTCAAATTACCCCCTTGTTGATGTGAGTTTTTTTTTCTCAAATGAGTATGGTTGAAGCATCGGTGCCTATATTATGTGTTTGTCGGCTCACATCTTGTCTATAAATATACGCAAGGATAAGGATATTTTGCTATATTTGTTGCATTTACAAATCTCCCTGTAGATTTAATTGTGGCAACCTCTGAAATAAGGAAATAACTTTTATGTGGTTATTCTTTTCCGCCTCAAAGAATCACAATTCTCATTCTAATCATTAACAAAAACTTGTAATCTTGCTTTCCATATATTATGCAAAACCCAATATGTCAAGTATGTTCAAGTGATCCTTCTCTTTGTGGTTCTTATATGTATCATCCTATTTTGCAGGGGTCAGATGGGTTTGTCTGAAGAAGAGCAGAGGAAAGCCCTGGAGTCTAAACACGTGACAAATGGTGTGACCGAGGATGGTGCCCATGAATCCCCTGAAGAAACTACCAACGGTTCTGCTTGCAACCCTGTCGCTGCAGGTGGTTGCTGCCAGGGCAATGGAGGCTTTACCTGCTGCCAGAGTGATCTGCCAAAGGAGGATAAGAGCATCACAGCTGAGCAGAACCAGAAGAGCTCCGAGAAGGGGGCTGACAAAGAGTGTGCTGCTGGCAGCAAGAAGAGGCACATGAAGATGTGTTCCATGCCAACCTGGTTTGAGACATGGGAAACGGCTGACACCTATGCTGCTCTTGGTATTGTTGCAGCTGCTGCATCGGTGTTCGTCGCTTTCAGGATCTACAAGAACCTCAATTGAGAATCCTCAGAACAGGGCTAGGTTTTGTGCACTAAGGACAGTCTACTGCTGTAAAACAGTCTGCTGTGAGAATAATATACTACGTGTGCATAGTAATGCAAGATTAGAACTTTAAAGTAGCTAATCTGAAGAAAGTGACCAAAGTTGTTTTGGGTAATGTCGTCCTCATGTGAAACTCTGCTTAATCTCCAAGTTTTCCCACGCCTTGCCTATTTGTTTACCTTCGCAAGGCAGTGACCCTGCTGTTCGACATGACGATGTTATCTTTATTTTGAACTGGAGGTGTTCTTCAGCATGTGGATGCATGCTATTCAGAAAATGGTCAGCTTGTATTTTTGTCGCTGGTTGCTGCTCCTGTTGTTGAATGTTTTGAGCACTCCATTTATATGGTAATAAATATTTCATTTTCAATTTGCCGTGGACCCCGTGGTGGCTCTGATCACAATATTAAGAGGATCTCAAGTATTCTCTACATGGCAATTCTGTTCTTAGCCCCCTTTGTTCTCGCAGAAAGGCACCGGAGGTGGCTGCGGCGTCTGGAGAGTGGAGTGGAGACTGACGCTCCGGCAACACAGCGTTTCAGGTCCAAACATAACCGCTTCGTCACCACTCACCAGCACGCCCGATGCAACTACTTCACTGCTGCTTCTTCCTGGTACGCCTCTACAGCGCTTGATTTTACTGGCAAGATACTGTGCTAAATAAGGGGATTGGGATCGGAGAAATATTAGGTCCATAAAAGTAAGAAAAAAATATTAGGACAAATCTAAGCTGGTGAAGAAGCAGTGAAGAAAAAAATACAGTACATTATTTATCACAGGCTCATACTATAAAGCATCACCGTTCCGATCTCAGAAATCTCCTCTGTACAGCAAATAGCTGTGGACAACAGAAAACTAGACTGCACGTCTGCACAGGTAGAGATGAGAGAGCACATGCCCAATGCAGTACATCGTTTGCTGAAATAGTGAAATGGATACGTGATCGATTGGTATCTGTGGTCCGTCCAAGCTAGGATGTGTGTAAGCAGAAATGGAGGCGGCAAGCAATTGCTGCTGCAGATATTGCAGTCGCAGATACATGTGCTGAACTGCCAGCCATTCTTAAATGATGGTGGCAAACATTCAGAGATATGGTGTGCCCACGATTTAACTTTCCATTTGTGTTGAAGTGTGATCCTCAGCTTAAATGTTTTGGTTACATATAGTGCAAGCCGTTGTAATTCTGGCATGTGGCCATCAAGGCATCAAATAGTTACAGTAGAATGGCCACTGGCCTGGTTAGCAATCACATGGCATCATGAACCCCCTGAATTGGACTGAACTGGGATAATAATGGATCACATGCAACTTTGGCATACTGCTTGGCCAGAAGATTAACAGAATCAGAACTTGTGGAAACACAAGCTGTAAAAGAATATAGATTATGCAGGAAATAACAGAAACAGGTTGCAGTGGACAGTCTACAACACTTATCATCTGCCAGAAACACTACACCTAAAGAAAACTACATCTCATCGCACAATCGATATATATCGAAATCCATATGTTCATCAGAAAAAATCAAACTCTAAGTAGCCATCAGAACCCTTCTGAGGCGCACCACTGGACACATCAGTAGTTCCAGATGTGGATGGGGGCAACTTTGGTGGCCTCTCAATCTCGACAGGCTTTGGTACCTCCGGTGGGCTTGCACATCGGATCAACGCCCAGTTTACGCCTTCGAAGAACGGATGCTGCTTTATCTCTGTGGCGCCGCGTTTGTAAGCTAACCGATGCTGGGGCTCCTTCACAAGTAGACCTCTTATCAAATCTCTTGCTGAGAAGCTGACAATTGGGTACTCCGGGAAGCGCAATGGCTGACCAATGACATTGAACAGTGTTGCCCTGTTGCCAGAGCCCTTGAATGGTGTCTTTCCAAACAGAAGTTCATACAAGAATATCCCGAAGGTCCACCAATCGACAGCGCTACCATGGCCCTCGCCTTTGATGATCTCTGGGGCCAAGTACTCATGTGTTCCAACAAATGACATTGAACGAGCATCGCTGGGCTCCGCTATGAGCTCCGGCCAAGGGCTGATCTGGGTCGCAATTTCAGGCTTCGGTTTGCGATCTTTCTTGGATTTGGAGAAGAATCGAGGGCCAAAGCAGGTTGTAGGGGCTGCACATGATGGCTGAATCACGCAGGATGGCTCGACGCATGCTGGCTGGACACAGTAACCTTGGCTGTTCTTCCTGAGTGCTTCAGCGTCCGGGTTGGATGATTTTATTAGTGTTGGACTCACCGCGCAACGGAGTGAGAGGTCAAAGTCAGATAGCATGATGTGCCCATCCTCCCGAACGAGGACGTTTTCTGGCTTGAGATCACGGTATATGATGCCGAGCATGTGCAGGTACTCTAATGCCAAGAGGATTTCTGCTACATAGAATCTGTAATATGACAGCAATGCAGCATTTTATTAGTAAGGCTCCTAAGACAGTAGAAGGCAAAAGGTCATAAATTATAGTAAGCTAGACTTGCCATTTGTCACTACTGATTTCACATGAACAAATTTTAAGAAAATCACCATTTCTGTTAGGTGGTGAAGTACATGCAGAAGGTAAAATGGAGATAAACAGATTTTTGAAAGAAATGGTGAAAAGACATACTTGACAGCTTGCTCTGGAAAATATTTGCCCGGCTGCCTCTGCCTAAGGGTATGCAGGTCTCCTCCTGGGCAGAACTCCATCACCAGGCATGAGAACTTGTCAGTCTCGAAGTGAGTGTACAATGTAGGAAGAAAGGGGTGATCCAGGCATTGCAGAATTTCTTTCTCAGTTTGAGCTCGAAGCAACTTCTTGCGGCTTGCTAATGAAGCCTTATCCATAATCTTCATCGCGAAATAGCTTTTCGCCCCGCTCAATTCAGAGAGATATACACTGCCAATATCACCACAGCCTAGCTTCTTCAACAGCCTGAAATGGCTCAACCCAATGATCCCATCTCTCACCCTGATCGTCTGGATCGCCTCCCACCGTGAATCATTTGACTTATGAGGCTTCGTGGTGCTGCTCATGCTGCTACACGAACTCTCATCACTGATATCACTGCTTGTGCTTGGCCTGCATCTGCTACTACTACCCCTTTCACCGGTCTCGGATCGATCCGTCATCCTAGCACTTCCACTTGCTTTTCCTGGACCACTCCCTTCGCATGTGTGAAATGAGGTGGAGCTCCCATTCACACTCTCATACTCCACAACCTTCTTTTCTTGACTTGCAATACCTTCTGAAACCATTTCTTCGCTCACTTCTGTCGGACACTTGGCCGATGAAACATCAACAGACTCTTTCAGGTGGTGGTTTGGCTTTTGTTCCTTTGGCTCCAATTTATGATTCAACTTGCCGCGGTCTGATTCTTGTAGCAATTTAGGTACTGAAGAACGAGAATTGTTTGATTTGGGGATGTCTGGAGCAGTCTTAGTATACTGCTGTGGTTCTGGGGTGGTTGGGATTTCTGGGAGGGTTTGAGGAATTATCTTTGAAGCCGTTGTCGCCATGACTGGTTATTTATCAGGCAAGATGGCCAAATACTGCCACAAGCTATAGTTAATCAAAATAGCAACCTTGGAATAGTGATGAAACTTCCATTCACATCTGCAAAGGAGAAAAAAAAATCTGATAAATTCAAAGGTGCATTCATGAAACCAACTATCATTCCATGATTGGACTAGGAGGTAAAGATTCACCAAACAAACAAAAGAGATGTAGTGGCCAACAACAAACTAATTACCTGATTAAGATATTTAAAAGTAGGCAAGTCAATCAATGGTTTGGTTTCAGTCAAGAAAACTAAACATCAAGAAATGGCCTCCACAGTCCACACCCTTCTCCATCAACCTCCCCTCAAATGGACACTTAACACTATTGTGTGCCACACACAGGAATTTGTCTGCTTAACTACGAAAGCTAAAGCCATGGAGAGCTCCTTCCTATGGCATTAAAACCATCAATCCTGCCTAACCCTCCACTAAGGCCAATAATCATGCAACACACTACAGATCTAGCGTTCCCTTTCACAATAAACAAGTGTTTGATCAGATGAGAGCACATGAAAGGGGCCACCAAAAAAAAGAGAGAAATGGCAAATGGAGCCTTTTCTTTCTTCTAAATTAAACAGCATCACTCTAGTTGAGCAAAAGCTGTGCCTGTTGATGTATTCCTTCCGAGAGGTTGCATAAACAAAGTGGTAGCACATATCAATCGGCCTACCTCGTTCCAGTAAAATGTCAACATGTCATTTGTGAGCGCAGAAAGGTGAGGAAAGCAAGAATCAAGAACACGCCAAAAGGAAAGCCCTTTTCTCGTCTCTCTGCAAAATGCAGCAGACTGAAATCTTACATTCTTTGCAAGAAAGATAAAAACAGAGAGGAAAAGGTTTACTACGATCAAGCCAAGGCAGATCTACAGGGCCAAAGCAGAGGATTCTCTGAAGAACCGAATTGGGCACCAGAAGAAGAGAAAAAGGCAGGAGAAGAGAAATCTCACCAGACTGAACTGAGCCCGGAAGGCTGAACCCAACTGCTCACGAATCAAACAAGAAGGAAGATGCCGAGCGGTAGCGGTTTTCTACTCAGGAGAGGCGTTGGATTTAGCCCGGTTTTTCCACGAGTTCTCGTGACTGTGTACTTGAGCTGTTCGTGGTGGGGTTCAGCAATGTGCTGCAGAAATGGATGCGAGGAGGAGGGCAGGAAACTGGTGGCTCGACTGTATTAAAGGTTGGCCTCCTCATCACCTTCCCTGATTTTATTTTTCTATTGCTTTTGTTAATCCCAAATGCAATGATCTTGTCTATAGTTTTGGGTCCCTGAATATGATTTTTCTTTTTAAGAAAAACAAAAGAATGCCTTGTTGATGTTGTTGCTCTCTGTCTCAATTATTAGCCGACCAGAATCACCAAGTTTACCATTTTTGGAGCTTGACGATGTCAATTTCTACGTAGCCACGTTAGATTAGATATTCCTTGGGCTAGGAATTTGAATCTAACTTGAAAGTTGAAACATCTGGAACTGTACATTATTTTCAACACGTTCCTGAAACAGCCCAGGGCCTAATTGTACATTATTTTCACATGAATAAATTCCTTGGGCTAGGAATTATTGTTATCAGCATTAATTAAGAAAAAAAAACATTCCAACAAATTCCCACCCTGGGCTAGGATAGAAAAAAAAATTGTAAGCCGTAACCAAAATCTAAATTCTGCTAGACCTTTTTTTATCGTTTTGTTTTTTTAAAATCATGATTTTTAAGTCCTATCCTGACATTATTTTTCTTTGCCTCATTTGTTTTTCTAAGGCTTCAAATTAAAGCCAAATAATCAATAAGACATGACAAAATGCATTCCGGCCTCCTTTCTCAAGTCACTTCATTATT